ACGTAACGCTTGTAATCGCGTTTATAGGCTCGTGACCGAACGACCACGGTCGGCGGTATATAATTCTTGTAACAGGCATGTTACAAGCAAGTTGTAGACCTGTGTGCCAAGATAAGAGAGATGAGAAGTTTTTGTGAAATTTTGTTCACGACACTTCCGATGACACTCACTTTCCGATGAATCTCATCAGCGAAGCCTTGCGCGTCGCAGGCCGCGCGTCGCAGCATTGTTATCTCTTATCTCGGAATAGAAAATGACTTTGCTTCGACGTTGGTTAACGTTGAACGTCAACGCGAAAAACTGATGCTAAGAATTCAAGAAGGTGAAGTTGCTGAACTTGCTGTCATGCTGGATTATGCACGCGGGTGCCGGCATCTCCCTCGATTAGTGGCATTCTCGACGTTGCATCAACTGCATCAAGAGCAGTTTCAGCTAGATTTCAGCGAGATTGCACGTCGGCTTTGCATCTGAGAGAGAGAGAGAGAGAGAGAGAGAGAGAGGGGGGAGAGAGAGAGAGAGCGAGAGAGAGAGAGAGAGAGAGAGAGAGAGAGAGAGAGAGAGAGAGAGAGAGAGAGAGAGAGAGAACGTAAGAATCTTTACAAATGAGCAACTTTCCAAATCTCTCTCATTTACAAGATCACATTTGCTCGAGTGTTTCGTACAATGCAATTTAAATGCAAAAAGAAAAAACGTTCGGACGATCGCAAACGCGTGATTGCGAAAACACAATGTGATTGAACGTCGAGTGTCGAGTGTCGAGAGAGAAAATATTTAAGTTTAGTTGCGATAGTGAGTAATCAGTATTCTCTGGAAGATGCTGAAACACACACACGCACACACACGCGCGCGCACAGAAACAAAATTTCTGCCGGCCGGCCGCGGCGTCTCCGTTGCATGTCAAATGCGATATCAATGCCCGATTAGTGGCGTTAGAAACGAAATATCATGGAATACTAACGCCGTAATATATAAGGAACATTGGTGTGATAATAAATCGTGACGTGGTCGTAGGGAGTCAGCGAGAGTGCCCTCCGGTCGGGAGAAATGGAGCGTGCCGGGTGTAATATATACGCACGCTACGAAAATCATCGCGGCATGTGACGAAAGAGTTCAACGACAGGTTTCTCGCCTCTCTCTTGTCGCGTCGCGTCGCGTCATTTCCAAATTAATGACGCGAAATAATGAAAACTCGCGACAATAACGTAACTCGCGCGCTTACGATCGATGCCGGTCGGTAATTGTGACGTTTGGACCAAATCTTAGTGCTCTCTTCATATGTACGATATTTCAATCTTTCCATCTATTTCGTCGACATCCACAGTGCACAGATGTTGGCACAACGCGCCTACCGTGTTTGGAATAATTGTGGTTCCCAATTGCGTAGAAATCAAACTGAAATTCCGATGGAAAAGTCCATCGAAATTAAAGTCTGAGAGAAAGCCAGTCAGAGAGAGAGAGAGAGAGAGAGAGAGAGAGAGAGAGAGAGAGAGAGAGAGAGAGAGAGAGAGAGAGAGAGAGAGCGTCTTCTTTATTGATGCGACATGACGCGACGCAACATTATCGCGTGTTATCGCGTCGTCTTGACGCGATATCTCTCTCTCTCTCTCTCTCTCTTTCTCTCTCATTATGCGCCAATTATCTATTATTATTTCGCCTCACTTTACCTACGTCCCTGCAATTAAACCGATGCAATGTTTGAGAGCTAATTGGCTCTATTAAACCGCGTACACGTACGCGTGTGCCACGTGATAACTTGGTCCAAATCGGAGCCGAGTGATCTTCTCTTTTTATTTTTACGCATCCGTGCGTATCCATTTTGTCATATGTACGATACCAAAAGCTGTACTCGAGCGGGTTACCGCGAATTCCGCGCGCCGCGCGCGACAATCAAATGTCATAGATGACGAGACCGGAAAGAAGATGACCAAATACCACCATCCGCCGTCGATGACAACGGAGACAATGGAGAATGAGCAGAAATAAATTTCGTTCCGACCGTTCCGACGATATGCCGTGGACGAAAGCTGTGGAAATGAAATGATGGGGAGCTGGGCTCGCTTTCTTAGCGTTATTTATAGCTGTGCCACCGTGTGGATCCAAATCGGTACGAGACGGTTTTCGGAGCGTTGCGTTGCGAAGCGACCTATATCGCGCGCGCGAGCGATTGCGTTAACCGGGCATGTCAAATCTATCTTGGTTTACAGACTGCACGAGCAACTTCCCAGCTTTCATCCGGGGCTTTTGTCAGCTTTTGTATACATTACGTATAAACCTTTAAACGTTAAGCTTCAAGTTACCAAGTTCAAGTCAAGTATCTTGCGCGGTGATCTACGATCATTGCTTTCTCCACCTGCGCCTAAACTCGGAACCCTTCCAGTTTCCGCTTTCCGAAAAATACGAGACGCCAATATCAAGGCCCGCCTCGGGCAGACTCTCTCTCTCTCTCTCTCTCTCTCTCTCTCTCTCTCTCTCTCTCTCTCTCTCTCTCTCTCTCTCTCTCATAACCTCGAGCAATAATCTTGAGATATCTCAGACTCGGGTATAAGATATTAAATTAAGACGCAACGTGTGTATTTCCTCTCTTCTCGACTCTTCCTCTCCCCTGTCTCTTATTATCGTTACTTTCCATTTGCCTTTCGCTGCCGTCAACTACGTGCGATTTGTTGGCGGCGCTGGTTTCGCGACGTTGAGTCAGTACGCCGCGCCAGCACGGAACGGCACTGGTAATTGAGTCGCTCGTTTCTTTGCGCACAATACAATAGACGCTGGTCGCTCTTTTCGCAACTACAGCTACGTCACGGCCGCGAGTGATGGATTAATTATCGGTTGTAGCGGTTGTAGAGAAAGCAACGTTCTCTGGTGTGAATTTTCAGCACAGCTCGGCACAGCTCGACGAGAGAGTCGCCGCCGGCGACCGTTGCGATTGCAAATCGCCGCCGGCAGCGAATAACGCGCGCGGTCGCGTGAGGAAATTTGCACGAAATTAGCCTGTCAACGTGCGGAACTGTTTGAGAGTTCGAGAAACGACAACACTTGACTCGCGAGCAGATTAAATAGAAAGTAAAATATTGACCGAGAAGGGCTCTGTCCTTCACGTGAGTGAGGTTTCTCTCTTTGAGAACTTTGCTCGAAACCGAGAGCGCCGTTTCGCTCGTCGAAAGATCGAGTCGAGTCTTTCGTCTCGTTCTCGCGCTCGACGACTTGAATATGATCTTGAATTGGAATCTCAAGTATGCGAGGATATTGAATTTTGTACATTTTTCGACGAGTATTTTATATACGCTATTTCTCGTATTTTGCCGCTATTTTTCGTATTGTGCCGTGCGATCGATCGATTCGATTCGATGCATAGCGAATATTCGACAAATAGACGCGCGCGTGCACGCGCAAAATACAAGTTTAATTTGAAGAAGAATTTGACGAAACGTTGCAAAGGGAAAACATTTAGTATTGGAACGCGCGTATCTCTTTTGTTTTCGTTTTCTTCGTTTGAACGTTAATTGCGACAGAGCTTGATTCCCTCCGCGCGTACGCGCCTGTTGTACGGGCACGCGTGTGTGTGTGTGTGTGTGCCCGTGCGTGTGCGTGTGCGTAAAAGAGAAAGAACCGAAAATTAAACTTAAACGTTTCACGTTTAAGGGCGTGAATACTACTGTTTCTCGCCCTCGGCATCTTTTGCAATTTTGGGGAAAGCCCTACTGCACACGCGTAACGTGCCGCGAATATTTAGCCCGGATACGATTTAATCTGAACATACCTTTTCCACGACCTCTCCCAGGACGAATGTCCGAATGTAATTATTGGTCCTCTTCAAGGGGATTAATTGTGTTAGAAGAACGAAAAAAATGGAAAAGAAGGGTGTAAATATCGGCACTTCCCCTCTCTACTTTGTTCGCGGTACTATCTTACAAGCTTCAATCTCAAGTACGAAATGGCCACCTGAACATGATCGTTCTCACACGGTACAAAACACAAGAAGAGTTTGTTCAATTCGGCAGTTCAGCCTGAACTGTAACTTGTACACGAAGTGTGCAATTGCAGTTCCGAATAGAATTGAAGGATAAATCGAGAAAGACCTGTCGAGAAAGCTGTAAAATCAACACGATCGCACACGGTTCACTTTGAACAATTTAAGGGTATCTAAGCTCGGGGCCGATCGTATGATAAGCGTCGCTGCAAATAGCGACGATTAAATCGCATTAGGTGTTCGAGCGAGAAAATGTGCCATGTGCGCGGAATAAAATGGAATTGAGGAGCCGAGAGCCGAGTGGGAGGGAGAAATTTCCAACGAAATCTCAAGCTCTCACGTTCCCGGACGCATCGCAAACGTGCCTGTGGTATGTCCTTACCGTTCCCGGCGCAATTACTATACTAGTATTTGACGAATTAAATCACTCTCCACGTCACCGCCATCCTTTCTACCCACGTATGCGAAACTTGGCGCGTATATACGAGTATAATAATTACGCGCACACACGAGACCGGTGAAATCGTTCGCTCCGCGAGTAGGACCAGTTGGAATAGCATTTCGGAAAGTGTCGTTAATCACTCGACTTGATAAGTATTGTACATACATGCGGCGCATGAAAAGCGTGAGGCGTGAGGCGTGAAGCGTGAGTCGTGAGCCGTGAGACACATAGGAACACTGAGGAACATACTACTAGTATGTAATACCAAACGAGCGATTTTCGATCATCGACAAATTGTATTCAGTCTAGACTAGTCGAGTCGGGGCCTATTATACAAACGAATGACTCCCGAAGATAATATAAGATCAAACGGCTCAGATGTCGATGCACGAGACACCACCCAACATTTGAAATAGTCTAGACACTTGAGGAGACGATCTAAACGATCCCCGAAACGAAATTGTATCCCACAAACTTGTGTATACGCGCGCGCGCGCGCCGATACGGGGGAGAAATGATAAAGTTTCATGCCGTATTTTTTATATCGCGTACATTCATGCATCCCATGATTGGGATTGGGTCTTGTTACAGGTAGCAAAATTGTTCTCCTACACCTGGACAATGGGTCTCTTCCTATGCAAAGCGGTGCATTACATGCAGAGCGTGTCGGCCATTTGCTCGGTCGTCACTCTTACCGCAATGTCGATCGAAAGGTGAGATTACTCATACTCGCTCTTAACGCGCGCAAAAATCGCGTCGACATCGATCGATTGTACGAAGCGGCGAAGCGACGAAGCGTTCAAAGCGAACAATCACACGCGAGCAATTTAGTGTTGTTATGTCGCAACAATTGCTGCTCAATCATCAAACGAATGATTTTTCTGCTTGCTTACTTGTCGTCTCGTCGCGTATTACGACACACGAAAGTGAGAGAGGGAGGAAGGGAGGGAGAGAAGGGGAGGGGGAGAGAGAGAGAGGGAGGGAGAGAGAGAGAGAGAGAGAGAGAGAGAGAGAGAGAGAGAGAGAGAGAGAGACGAGGAAGAGAGAGAGAGAGAGAGAGAGAGAGAGAGAGAGAGAGAGAGAGAGAGAGAGAGAGACAGACAGACAGACGAGGAAGAGAGAGAGAGAGAATGCCTTTTGCCACTAAAGGCACAGGAGACAGTAGATAAAGCCCTGTGATGTTTCGAGAAAAGGAGGAACATTGAGCGTCGAGGGAGAGAGAGAGAGAGAGAAGAAGTAGCCGTCGTCCTTCCCAGTTAGCTGTACTGTATGCGAACAGTCGTTCTTTTATCGTTCGCTCAAATCACGTACCTATTCTACATAATCTTTTTCTATTCTTCTTTCCCGCGACTCACCTCTGTGCGCACGATTGCGAGACGACGTTTGAAATCGAATATCCGGTATTAATCCGAGAACTCTGGAACTCGCGATTCGCGAAGATGTTTTCTCGCAAGACGTTTGCTCTTTCTCACTCAGGCTCTTGCTCTTGCGTTAAAAATCTCTCCTGTCGGAGAAAATCGGAGAACGGCGCCGGCGGACCATACCATCACAGGGGATATTCGGATTCCGATGTGACGTCCCTTACAGTTAAATGAGATTTAACGACGCCGAACATTTCGACAGCAATCGAAGTAACGTTGGATCACTCGAGGATTTAATTATGCAACTTCGCCCCCGTAGCGCTGACACGGTCAGTTTACGTTTCTCTGAAAGAATCACGGCGCATTTAACGATTGCAGCAGGCGCCACGACTACTATTACTTGGCTACTTGGCTACTTGGCACTTATCCAGTCGGTAACGGTCTCTTTTCGTCCCTTTAAAAGAAAACACTCTGATACATCTTCATTCTCTCTCCCGAACATATTCAGGTCACTAGCGAACAACCCGACGCTCTCTATATAATCTAACAATCATTATTCTTCAGAAGATCATTCCCGCGAGCGGCCAATCGTGCTCGGTAAAACATACTTTGAAAGTTCGCACATTCTTGAGCTTTCCAGTTACGATAGAATCGCTAGATATTTCCTTTCGCGTTCTACTCAGATCTAAATTCACACGTGCAAGCATGTTCGAGTCATTTAGCATTTAATTTTATCTTACGCATTTGCTGGAAATGTTTCCTCTCTCTCTCTCTCTCTCTCTCTCTCTCTCTCTCTCTCTCTCTCTCTCTCTCGCTCTCTCTCTCTCTCTCTCTATCCTCTTAATCCGCTACGCGGTAATTACCACAATTACGAACAATTTAATGCAAAATCGAATCTGCAAAATGTCGAGCACGAACGCGATCGCGATCTACTGATGAGTCAATCTAAGCAGCCGTGATAGAGAAATTAACGCAGATAGCATCAACAATTGTGCGCGGCCGCGCAAAAACGTGAGGGGTTTGAGATGAAAAGATGGAGAAAAGAAAAAAAAGTTCGGGAATGGAATAGCCCCAACTGTCATCCGTTCCATTTCACGCGACTCCGCTACTAGACGCGCCGCTCTTCGATCGGCGCGCCGTTCTTGTCGATATATGCGCAACATCGAATATACACAGCGGTCAGACAATTTGTATTCGCGTCGTACCGCGAGAAACAAAACGGCCAGCTAGGCTGGCCACGAACCACGACCAGACAAGACGACCAGACAAGGGAGAAAGCTGGTAAAAGAAGAAGAAAGAGAAAGAGAAAGAGAAAGAGAGGGAAATACCCTTACGCGCTCCTCGCGTAACTCGAAATCGCGCAAGATAAGGCCGACAGGCAGGTGTCGAGATAAAGAGAAACTGGTGCGGAAGCGACGCCGACGTGGAGGAGGATGAAGGCGGAGAGGACGTAGGCGGAGAAGAGACGGCAGAGTCTGCGGGCAGAATCGACGCGACGTGACGAATCCCGCCAGGGATTACGCCTGATTACGCGCACAGAGGCGCGAGAGGCGAGAGATCTTCTGTCTATTCGCTCGCATTTATATTTTTCTATTTCTATTGTGACTTTACGTTTTAGTAGCCAGTCTCTGTCTTGACTGTCTTGACCAGTCGGGCTCAAAATTGACCGAAAACTAAGCATTTGCGCATACGCGGATCGAAATCGGTTGCGGTTCTCGCCCGGCAGATATACGTATTATAGATTCACGCCCGATGCGAGAGCGCGAAACACACAATCTAGTCTCTCTTATGGGCGCGCGCGTCATGAATCTCGCTCGTTTCGCTCAAAATCTATACATACTCTACTACTACGACGCTGTTAAGACTTGCGTATAATGCCCACATGTAACATATAACATAGGTACATTTCTCTCTCTCTCTCTCACTCTCTCTCTCTCTCTCTCTCTCTCTCTCTCTCTCTCTCTCTCTCTCTCTCCCTCTCTCTCTCTCTCTCTCTCTCTCTCCCTCTCCCTCTCTCCTCTCTCTCTCTCTCTCTCTCTCTCTCTCTCTCTCCCTCTCCCTCTCTCTCCCTCTCCCTCTCCTCTCCCTCTCCCTCTCCCTCTCCCTCTCCCTCTCCCTCTCCCTCTCCATCTTTTCGCAACAGGTTCCTTTCCTCTCTCGATCGTTCGATATTACAAAACATTATGTCGAGCATTACGTGTGTTTTTTTGTCCTGTGAAGAAAGCTTCCGCTTCCTGCCGTCAGGAGGATTTGACGAATGCACATTCCCAATTATTTGCATACAACATGAGACTCGATTTCAGTGCTGCGAAGCGGTTGAAGGCGTATACATACGTTTAATATCCGTATTTCTGTATATTTCTCTCGGCATTTTATCACGGCATGCATGCAATTTCCCGACAATGATTATTCCGAGTACGAGTACCAGAAGTCACACCCGCCGCGGGCCGCTTTGCACGATCTTCTTCCGATATTCCGCGCTGCGTTGTCGCACCCATTCTCTCATCCACGGGCGGAATGTTTGCGCTGATAAATAAATAATTCAGATTAATATCTACGCGACGCTCGCACCCCTCGGCGAAACGAACGACGACGCAACAGAGAAATTATTCGTTCCAACGCAACCTAAGTTAACCTAACCTAACCTAACCTCTTCCTCTTCCAACCGACCACAATTGAATATGAATCCTTAAGATATGACTTAAGATACGCTACAAACCGCTAAAATACATATTGTCGTGTCGTGTTAGAAGTAGATGTTTCGGAAATGTTTCAGGTATTACGCGATAGTGCATCCGATGAGAGCGCAGTATACGTGCACAATAAGCCAAGCTCGCAGGATCGTAATTATAACTTGGATCGCGGCGTTCCTATTGGGAATTCCAGTAGTGTTTACACAGGTACGTATTCAATTAAAGACACAGCAGTTGAAGACCGGTACACTTCTGATTTCGATTTTACATACGCCGTTCCCGTTCACAATTTGCAACTATTCGCACACCATCGATCGCGAATGCGACACATGTCGCATATTCCGCTCGCTCGCTCGTATTATCGTTACGCACGTAACGCACGCCGTAAACACGTAAACACGTAATCTACGCATATGACGCATCTACGCATATGAAATCCAACGCGGGGAAGGGCGCGGGAAATGCGCGCCCCGCAGTTGCGAATCGATAAAGCCGATAAAGTCCGCTCCCCGTTCGCTCGCCATCTCCACTTGAAGAACGCTGGTTTATCTGATGAGCGTTAAAAAGATACGCCGCTAAGCAGGGATAATCGGCCGCGCGGTGGAAAATTGAGAGGATCCGACGCTATCGGATTGGATTTTGCACCTGGCGGAAACTTACGGACGTACGGTAGCTGGACTGGAGCTCGCGACGGTTCTGCAGATGGCGAAAGCTCAATATCAATATATCAATATTTCTTTCTGTTATCCGTCCAAACAAGTCCGTCTCAACGTGCCGGATTTAACGCTGATTTAACGATTCAGCATTTCAATCCGGTCTCTATCCCGTCTATCTACTGCTCTCGCTCTTCCCATTCCTCCTCTTTCCCATCTCGTTCCTTCTTCTTTTGCTCCTATTTTTGCTCTTTTCCTCTTTCAACAACCTTCTTTCACAAACGGCAGAAGTTGTAGAGATATTATTATTATTATTATTATTATTATTATTATTATTATTATTATTATTATTAAGACACCGTGCGTGAAATCGCGATTCGTGGTCGCATCTCGCGTGTGATTGTATGTAATTATGTAATACGCAAGGAAACGGATCGAATGAAACGTTGGCTGAGCTCGGTACACAAATTGTCGTTATAATGTAGTCGCTCGCATTCTTCGTAAATCACATTCGTAAAGTCCGACCACTCACCGGTGGCGCGAACGAGTCACGTCGCGGAGGATTAATGAAACGCGAGGGTGAACGCTGATCCTCCTGATCACAGGGAAGCACAGGGGATCACAGGGGCGAAGGTGCGATAAAAAGCGCTCGTCTCTCTCTCTCTCTCTCTCTCTCTCTCTCTCTCTCTCTCTCTCTCTCGTCTCGTCTTTCGCCGGCGTTTCGGCGTCGGATGCCGGCGGAATCTTATTGCCGACTTATTGTGTGATGTGAATCTGTCCGTTGAACGGCGGCTGTCGCGATGAATACAGCGGCGGTTTGCGGTTCGGCACGAAAACGCGTCGCTTTAAAAGTGAAATCAGGTGACATTTGGACATTGCATCGTAAAACGTAAGCTGTGTGTGCGTGTGCGCGCGTGGACGTGCGGATAAAAAAATGCGGACAAAAAAAACCCCAAATTTTTTGCCCAATTGCTCGCTCAAATTCTCCCGTCTTCTTTTCAGATGCACAAACAAGTGGGACTGAAATTGATTGCTTACTGGTGCGTGCGCGATTCCGAAGTTGGACTCTTGTGGCAGATTCACGAGGTCTACATGCTCCTCTTGGTTCTCGTCCTGCCGCTGACCATAATGGCGTTCTGCTACACGACTATTTGCTGGGAGATCTGGCGCGTTATGAAGCGTCGATATCATATGACGTCGCGACACGCGTAAGTCCCATATAGAAATAGAATTCGTTTGTCGCAAGCAGAACACTTCTGCTCGCGACTATTTGCGTCGAAGCATCAATTTGCGTAAGACACTATACCGCAATAACTTAACTTCCTAACCTAACCTAGCCTAACCGCCGAAGCCGAACGAGCGAATATATGCGTATGCGTAAACCGTCCCGTTGTCCCCCATAGCGTGTCATCGAGCGAAAGCTCGAAAGTCGACAGTAAAGCGGTCGAAAAAAGAAAAAAAAAAAGAGAAATGTCAGTGATTAAAATGCGAAGAACGTCAGCGGCCGCGAGTGAGCGGCGAGCGAGCAGCGGACGAACGAAAGAGAGGAACGTCATTTTTCGGCATTTGACGGACATCCCGCATTCGATGCGCATCTCGCGCGTCAGCGGTTTAATATAAACTTCAACTCGATTGTTGAATTTCCGGAAGCCTGGATGTACGATGGAAGCTCGCATGTGTCCGGGCCGATACAACACGAGATAACACGAGAGAAAGATCGCACTTCCATTGATTCGCGGACGGGAATGGAACGGAACGCGTTGCGTTGCGTTGCGTTAACGCAATCGTGAGTGATTTTATCATGCGATTGAATTGCATGCGCGCGCGAGTCCTTTCGAAATTTGCTCCTTATCATTCGTTGTTCACATTATCACATACATGCGCAGCAGATTTTAAGGTCGAGCGGCAGACAGTTTGTTCTAGAATAGATCGAGGACGATACGGTGATGAATGCGCAAGTGCATCTGCACTTTGTAACTCGATTGCAGAACTCGAGTGGACTCGACCTTCTCGGGCATTTCGCCGCGTCCCGGTATCCCGAGACAACTCGAGAAATTGTTATTTTGCTGATAACTGAACAGGTCACATCACAGATAAGAGCGCGTTTATTATGTCGGGGAAAGAATAAAACGTTCCCGACGACGGGAGACAAGCGAATTTTAATACGCGCGTCGGAAGATCAAAGTAAATGCGTTTCATAAATGTATATATATGTATGTGTGTATATATATATATATATATATATATATATATATATATATAATTGTACAACGTCTCGTTGTACAACTTGGCTCTTGAGAGCCAAGATGGGAAAAAAATATGAGGAGGGTCTCTCGCTCTCGCGATTGAAACGATCCAAGGGATTACAAAATTGCGGGACTGCTGATTCGCACGCCAGTCAGCACAGTCAGTCAGAGTGCAGTTCTCATCTATTTTATAGATTACACCCAAACAGCACGGACGTAGAATCTATAGCGATGACGACGAAGGGACAGAGCGTCACGAGAAACGAACGGCGGGCACGGTGTCGCGACGACACCGACGACGAGTCGGCACGGACCATGAAGCAGGTTAGACTCGATTGATTTTCGTTTAACAAAGTAGAAATCGTTCTGTCACGAGTTTCGGAGTCGCGCTCGAAATTGATCGCTCAAATTACGAGATTACCAATTACGTGTCGAGATGCGTCAACTCCGGCCATTGCTCCGCCGACAGGTGGTGAAGATGTTAGTGGCCGTTGTGGTCCTGTTCGCGCTATGCTGGGGCCCGATCCTCATCGACAATGTGCTAACCGCTTACAGTTACCTTCCTCGCGTCAAGAGCGGGCCGCACAAGCACCTTAACACTGTGTTTCAACTGATGGCCTACTTTAACAGGTACGACCCTTTGGCTCTGCAAGTCAAACTTGCTGGGCGCCGTCGTCCGTCGATTTCGGCGCCAACCACGCGCAACCTCGCGCGTTATCCTCGCGCGCAAACTCCTCGGCGCACAAACTCGCTAAGGGTCTCGCTCACGCGCGCCTACGATTGCCCGGCGCGCATCCTTTATCAAGGTCACAACGTGGTGCTTTGCAAGCTGAGCCTCCTATCCTCGCCTAATCCCGCAAATCTCCTGGCAAAAAGTACCTTTTGAACCGCGGACAAATCGCGATCAAATCGACGATAGGGAATAGGAACACGGCGCGTTTACAAAGCAACGGCTTCGGTAGCCTCGTCTATATATCGATAACAATCTCTGATTAGTTTGACAACTCTCACGATACAGCTATGAGACAACAATACAATTAATTACACATTATATATTCGAATGGTTCGTGCGGTCGCGGCACAAGTCGCGTATTCTTTATTGCATTTTCAGTCTCGTCGCTCTCTCCCCCCCCCCCCCACCCCCAAAAAAAAAGTTGCTCCTACTCTTTTGTAAAGTCTCTTTTGAATCTCTGATAACGCGTTCCCAATTGGATGATTCAGTGCTTGCGCACTGAACTAAATTCAGAGCTCTAGCGAGTCTAGGGACGAATTTTTAGCATGAAGAATTCGAGAAGGAATCGAGAAATACCTTCGCCGTCAAAACGGTTTGTAAACGGTTTAGTAACGACCGAGTCTTTTGATCCGGCCACACTGGTTGCAGCTGCATAAACCCGATAGTGTACGGGTTTATGTCGAAGCACTTCAGGAAGAACTTTTTGTCGGCCGCCTGTGGTGGATGGTGGATTTGCTGCTCCAAAAGAGGCTACCGAGCATCCGTCATGAGGCATCCCAGCCTCAGCCAGACCAGGACCACCAGTGTGAGGTAGGTAGCGCCTCCATCATTTTTTACACTTGTAGCGCTCTCGATGTAGAGAAAAGAACATGGTAAATGAAGATGGGACAGACAGAACAGAATTGTGAAGCGCATGTCCCCCTCATCTCTCTCTTGATTTGTGTATGCATGGTATTTTCGCATCTGCGTGTTACGTCGTTTGCGGTCCAAGTTGCAGCGAATTATTAATTAAATCGAACTACGCGACTGCATTTTCGCTAAAATTCACTGTAAACTATCAAACGCTTGTCAAAGATAGCAAACAACCGGCATAATATTTTTTATGAAAACGAAAGCTAAAAGTACACGCTCTCCGTGAGAAACCAGCATTCACCGCACTATAATACGGTACTGACCGTAACCTTTACGATAATTGGAATTATGGATATAGAAACTATATATAGTACACACACACACATAGAGAGAGAGAGAGAGAGAGAGAGAGAGAGAGAGAGAGAGAGAGAGAGAAGAGAGAGAGAGAGAGAGAGAGAGAGAGAGAGACACACATCTTGTATCTTGTATCGCGGAAAATACCTCCTCTTTGCCTTGGATAACAAGTCTTGACTTTTATAAACTCGTACATAAAAAATGTATACATTGCTTTATTCGCTCACTCAATTGAGCGTAATATAACGTAAATTATGCAGTTGCAAAATATGCCGTTTTCACGTGCGTCCGTGCGTAAACGCTCTTTGTAATAAATAAGTTTCAAGTTGTATGCAATTGTGACATGTGTCAACTTATTCTTGTCAACTCGGCGTGCCGCGCGCGCGCGCGCGCGCGTCCATTGAGCCAAACTCGATAAATCAAGATACCGGCAAAGTAAAGCTCCTCCAGTTTCTGAATGCATGATTCAGGTGGATTCGTAACTCGTCCGACCTGCATCCTGTAGTTTATCCGTGACACGCTCGCGGGAGACGAGAACCAAGCCCGTGCATGCTTCACGAATGTCCGGCTAGAATAGACGAATGCAGCATCGTGCGATAATCAATCGAGGTAAATTAAATTAACTAAACGTAAACGTCAGCATCAACATCACACTGTCACACTGCTCATTCGCACATTCGCATATTCGCAAATCTGACCGCTTACTAATTTCTCGTGCGCTTCCTACGTCTTACTTCGCGGAAAATCAGAGGATCAAGCAAGGGACGTTTGCCTTTCGCCTCATCGGTCCTGCACGTAGTCTCCTGTGTGTAAGTAAGTTTTCGCATCGTAAATATCTCGAGCGATGTTCTCTTTCGCATGCTGCGGCAAAAAGAAGCGAATTTTCGTGTACGATACATCATACGGGACGGTCTAAGTCTCGAAGGAGTTACACACGCAAGATTCCTTCCTGGCTCCCCTCCCCTCCCCGCCCCCTTCGTCCATCTGCCTTTCCCGTTCCCGTTTCCCCCTTACACCTATTATACATCTAGAGACTCACACTTTAGCACACACATTTCATTCCATTTTCTCTCATAAACGACAAACAACGAAACCACAGACACACAGTTTAATTAATTCGACTTTATACGACTCTGCATCGCGACGTTATGAACCTACAGGTATAAGAAAAAGAGAAAGAGAAAGAGAAAGAAAAAGAAAAAGAAAAAGAAAAAGAAAAAGAAAAAGGCGGATACCACATAACATCTTGCATGTTTGATGCCAACGATCGAGTCGCGTGTTGTATACCTTGATTGTACAACGCAGCAGCTAAGACACATTTGTGGAAACGATCGGAATGCTCCTGCTCGGACTGTGCGGAATTCGTTGTGCTGTCATGTCGCGCGCGCGTGTTAATTTATTTCTCACTATTTCATACCACGGCTTTTATTATTAAACACGGCACGCGTCGTGCCATTTTACCACGTATACTAAAAATATTCCATTTTAAAGTTAAATATATTAAATTTCAGCTTGGCTAGATCAAAAAGGGTCGATAGTATGCCGATAGAATTCCGAGAAATGTCGAGAAATTTGACAGGGTTCGAGAGAGGTCGAGAGAGCATACTGCATATGTACCGCGCGGTATTATTTCCCACAAATTATTTCTCACAATCGAATCGAATAGTGACTTTTCTAACGTGACATGTTATATCGACAACATTTCTGCGTTATAAGCGAGCTAAGAAAGAAACTTCGAGATCGATCGAATTGAGCTTTGCATGCGCACGCACGCACGCACGCACGCACGCACGCACGCACGCAGACGAGATCTTTGTCCTTTAGTCGCGGCTGGACCTTGCTGGAGCAGAAGACTCTCTCTAACTCGAAACTCTCGACTTGCTAAGATACCACAATATGATGTCGAAAATTCGAATCTTGTGTGTAAGTTTTGCGCTCTGAAAGAAGAATAAGGAATTTTGAATACGCATCTTTTGCTTTTTCTTTTCGTACTTTCTCGTATTATTAACGACTAAAATAACAAACAATTAGTATTTTGCGCATCTTATGTGCCATTTGTAATAATCGCGCAAACCACTCGCGGAATAATTCTCGCAGATAATTTGACCGTTTATCATCGTGACATATATCCAATCGCTCTCTCATTGCACTTTCAATTTGTAAGCAAAGAAGATTATTCGTTAGACGGCTGAATTTTCCACGAAATCCCGAATCGAAATTTTGATTCTACGGTATGCAACTTTCAGTTTGTCGAGTCGGTTTTATTATTCGATGACACCTTAACATTTACGCGAGAAACGCCTGTGCCGTTATATTTGCAAACATTGGATTATATATTGCACACTCTAACGCGGGTAGGTATATATGTGTATAGGTATAGGTAGAAGTGTGCTTTTCACAAGTGTGCTGGACTTATGAATACCAATGTGGCTTATTTACATTTATGTCTTGCGAATGTGTGCTATACAGAGCGGCTCAGAATTCTGGATGTTTTCTTATTCAGACAGAGATATTCAGACAGATACTTATATAATGACGAGATATTGTAAAATATAAACTCGAGCATCGCGCAATGCACTCGATTCAAGATAGAATAGCGTGGCGAGCGCGCACTCAGAGTTATTCCTGAGCGTCCTTCGACGATGATATTAGGCGCTTGAAAAGTTCTTGGCACGCGACGTAGGTGCCTCACTCATCTCTGGCTAGATAGGTATCTCTCTAGAGAAAAATATCAAAAGGGGGAGAAGATTCTCAAAGAGCTCGAGGAGTCCATTCCTTCTCTACCAGACCTGTGCTGTCGGACCTACTCATCGATCAGAAAGTTTTTCGCCATAATTTGTATTATATTTTACCGCCCTCGGAAATATGCGATCAAAAAAAGTAATAATTTACAACGTAATATCAGTAATCAGTAATCGCACGTTGATGCAAACCCAACTCGAGCCAACTTTCAAATGCCAAGCGGCATTAAGGAGCAGAATAACACGGAAAGACAGATTACATTTCGCGATTACACTTCTCATGCTCTCTCTCTCTCTCTCTCTCTCTCTCTCTCTCTCTCTCTCTCTCTCTCTCTCTCTCTCTCTCTCTCTCTCTCAACCGTCTTTGAGATTTTGCCTCTGCATCTAAAATGTACGATACAAGTGAAGCTTGACAATTGAAAAAAAGATTAATAACACATCGGTCCTTTTAACAGTCCTTCAGACTCGAATAATTTACGCGACTTCCTCTTGGTTTTCGACTTTCGATAAAATGTTCGATAATCGATAATCTTGTTCTCGTTTCGGCAGCAAATAGTCGCAAATTGAACAGTGAAAGCATAGTTTCGGATTAACAGTCAATCTACACGAGTCATTTACTTCTCGAGCACACTTTGGCGTCCGTGCGGAATAAAGCGGATCGCTCAGTCAGATTTGTTCGTTGAAACGTTGTAATCCAGCGCAGAGGATCTCCTCTCGCAACTTGCTTGCCCTTGCTTGCTCCTCAAACTTTGCTGGATAATGAAATTCTATCTGCTTTCAGATGGACCTGATTCTTTCTTCATCCCCGAGTCAAGTCGTCGAGGGAGATCTCCGTCAGACAGAAGACTTTCGACGGATAGTGAATAAAGCGTCGGTAGAAGTGCGATTGCGAGATTTACAATAGTAAGAGGTGTATACACACACACATACACATACACACACACACGTCGCCCTACGACCGCCTTCGCGATCACCCTCAACTGTTGCAAAACTGTTGCAAAACGTGTAAAAACGCGTCTTGATAAGTATACCGCAGGTAACTCCCCGCAAAGCTTTCTGCCGCGCAAGATTATCGTGCAATCAATGCGGTTCCCCGGCTTTCATTCACATCACGCGCAAATTCTCACTCGTTAGCGGCCAGATAATCGTTAAACGTTAGAATAATTAAACCTATATTTAATCCTTTCCCCACTCCCACCTCCCGCGGTTTCGGAAACGGGCAACACGGGCAACCGACATTGGATTGGATATCACGAGGCTATGAATAGCGCGTAAACATGTTCATCTCCGAGATCTCGTATAAATCACTACATCTCTCTAATTCACCGTATACGAATATATATTTCACCGAAATGAACAAATAAGGCTGGTTATATCGCTAAAGATCAGAGAAGACGATTGAACATTCGCTTAGAAAGTTAGTCTCTCTCGAATGGCGATTCGGGAGTCGGATCCTGCTCAATTTGCAGAATCGCTCTCAACGCGTGTCAAATGTAATTTTTTTTAATGCTTACGAATAATCCAGAGAAGATTCTGCCGAGTCCGAGGCACCAACGCAAATACAAATTGTTGTCTCGAGAAAAGGACAGAACCGTATAAATTTACCGTATAAATATACTCTCTCGATATATTTCGAGAAATATCCGCTGCGAGATGTATATGATCGCGGCCGATAAACACTCGTACACTATCTATCTAAGGAACATTTGTCAAACATCGTGCAACGACGACGACGAAAAGTCATTTATTCGCGGCGCGTTTGCCAAACGGTTGGCGGATATTTTTCAATCAAATTCCGCATAGATTTCCCGCAATGTGCTTATTATTAGGCTGTAAATTCGTGTTTACTTTACCATCATATATGCATGCTTGCATGTCTAAAGCGTTTGAAGAGAGAAAAATAATCGCTACAATACTCTTCTACACTAGGTGCATCATCTTTCCACTTGGCGCAGGATTAAAATCAACGTTTACAGGATTATGGGCGTGTGCGAAGAACAGTTTTTATTTTAAATTTACGTGAGCTTGGACGGCGAAAAATCGATTTTCGTACACGTACTATAATTATATTAATGCTGCTGTTAGAATGTCCTATTGCAGGTGGGTGACTAAATTATTAAAGTGGTGACTTCGAATGAAAAAAGAAAGAGAGCAAATTGAGAGAAAGAATCTGCCAAGTATATATGCGCGCGCGCCACAATTTATTTTGAATAATTTAACAAGTAATGAGAGAGGTAACGGCGTAGAGAGAGAGAGAGAGAGAGAGAGGGGGGAGAGGGGGAGAGAGAGAGAGAGAGAGAGAGAGAGAGAGAGAGAGAGAGAGAGAGAGAGAGAGAGAGAGAGAGAGAGAGAGAGAGAGAGAGAGAGAGAGCAACATGACGCCACATGATGCGATGAAAAAGTTTGCAAATTTAGTCTCTTTCTTCGCAACTTGCAATTAATTTCATCTCTTACAAAGTAACTTCTTTGAAAGGTGGCGCGCCGAGTTAGCTTTAGTTTAGAAGGGATAAGATGAAGGGATGAGCGTTTTTGTTACGGAGAAAGGAAAGAGATCACAGCTCAACAACGTTTTAATCACGCAACGTATGGATCTATAAGTAGTCCACAATGTGTCGGAAACGGATGCTTTAGATGCTTTAAATTCATACTAGTCAACTTCTCCGAGAATTATATTATTTTCATTACAGCGAAAAACAAATATTAAATAAATGTCGAACAAATGTGTGCTTCTTCTTCTTCTTCTTTTTTCTTTCTTTTGATTTCATTTACTTTAATTCGAAAATCTCCCGCATCATCCAAGTCCTCCGGTAAATCTTCCACCAGTTGAATTCTTACAAAAATATATTGAATATTCTCTGTAATGTGATTACGATATATCGATCGTATACCATCTCCATACTCATGACCAGGGTATATGAGATAAGGTTACTACGACGATTATACCGACGGATCTGATGATCGTGGCTCTCGACGTCGATAATGTGGTAAATCGAACGTTCCAAATATTCGATAACATTCGACATTTCGAACGTTTGCAGGCAGGTGACACCTCCTGGCAATTAATCCTGGTAATTAATCATAGCCCCCGCTCTGCTCGCGCCAGGCTAAATTAAACGCTCGAGAAACTCGAGTTGCGATTGCTCATGCCGTATGCTTTGTGCTTGTTAACTACTGCCTATTTGTTAAGGTGTCACGTAGAGCCAAAGAGAGCCAATACGAAGGAATGCCGAAGGAAAAACACGACAATTGATATATTCGCAAAGAGATATGCGTATGTGCGCGTAGGTTAGCATTTGTTACAATAATACATATTTTAGAGTAAAAATATAACAAGTCGCAACTTTGATGAACAACCACGCGAGATTTCATTGCAAAACGACAAACGTAAACGTAGTACGAGAATATTTATTTGCCGAGTATTATGCCGCTTGCTCGTTACGAGCAAGCGGCATAAACAAATTGAAAAGCACCCCGCCTCGCATCGAGCGAGCCATTACGCCGGGCAACAGGAGTGACATGCCGCTATATTATTTGCCGAAGCAACGAGAGCAAGCCGCCTATCTATAATACTGGTGAAAGAAGTCTGAAATATGACACGATAACACAGCGAAAGGCCACTCGCAAAAACATATATATATATATATATATATATATATATATAACCAATACGAGAAATCAGACAGATAAGTCGCACATAATCCGCATGTTGCGTCGCAAGGAGGAAATACAATGGGGTTTCAGAGGGGCTAATGAGAAACGATACAAGAAGAATAAGAGGATGCAGGATAGATGACGATTTCTGCAAGCAAGACAATTAATGAGCGTACTGTGCGTTGTACAGATACATGTAAACGATACGTGTAAAAGAACAAGAAAAAAAAAGAGACAGGAAACGATGAAAGAAGAGCAAGAGTATTGTTGTGTGAGCAAGTTTATGCGCATATTCATGCGTTTAGAA